TAGAATAGAATAGAATAGAATAGAATAGAATAGAATAGAATAGAATATGGAATAGTAGTAGGAATAGAATAGAATAGAATAGAATAGAATAGAATAGAATAGAATAGAATAGAATAGAATAGAATAGAATAGAATAGAATAGGAGAATGGAATGGAATGGAATGGAATGGAATAGAATAGAATAAAGAATGGAATGGAATAGAATAGAATAAAGAATGGAATGGAATGGAATGGAATGGAACGGAACAGAATGGAACAGAATGGAATGGAACGGAACGGAACGGAATGGAATGGAATAGAATAGAGAATGGAATGGAATGGAATAGAATAGAATAGAATAGAATAGAATAGAATAGAATAGAGAATGGAACGGAACAGAACAGAACAGAACAGAACAGAACAGAACAGAACAGAACAGATTAGAATAGAATAGAATAGAATAGAATAGAATAGAATAGAATAGAACAACTAGACACAAGGACAGTTTTTTTCCCAAATGCCATCACTCTGCTAAATAACTGACTCCCACAACACTGTCAAATTGCTTAGCAAGACTGTATTACTATTCTTCTTCTCATCCTTCCTATTACCCATCTCCTTTTCTACTTATGACTATAACTTTGTTGCTTGCATCTTTATACGATTTATATTGTTTTAATTAGTTTACTAGTATGATATATGTTGGTTGCGTTATTCAGTATCCTATGACTATCACTAAGTGTTGTATCTCATGATTCATGATGAATGCATTTATGACTATGATCATGATTTATCACTTATAGCTTTTATGTACACTGAGAGCTTATGCACCACAGATAAATCCCTTGTGTGTCAAATCACATCTGGCCAATAAAGAATTCTATTCTAGTGTAACATCATTTTGAGGGTAGAAGTTGAAATAATTTATGTCCAGGATATGCAGAGCATATGGGTTTTTGTGGAGTAAGTTGGGAAAAACAATCATGGATCTTTAGGTTTACAAGCTAGGGACTACGACAAAAGACGGACTGGAACAACTTACCACAGCCAGCTTGCTGTGGCCAGCTTGCCACAGGACAATTCAAAAAATACAAAAGTTCAGTTAAGTTCAATGGAACCATGGCCAATAAAAATAAAATGAAGAAAGACAATTCAGAAATATAAGTGTTACAGTAACTTCAACAAAAACATGGCCACCACTAATAAAGGTAACTCAATAAAACGATGAATACTGTGTTGAGTTGTCCTGCAGAAAGTTGTCTCACAATGAGTTGGCCATGGTGAGTTATTCTAGACCCAACCAAAGAATCCAGGCAACTGGGCGACAAACCTTCTGATTCAGACTGCCAAGAATGTCAAGCATGGACTTAATTTTAGTAGACACATCCAACTAGGAGGCAGAAGAAGCAAAATATTTTTCGTGTTAGCTTATGAAATAGAAAGCTTTAACCTTCCATTCCTTAGAGAATTGTGTGCTTTTCATTGGATGTTTCACCTCCTTTCTCTTCATATTTTCATTCCCCTAAGCCTTCAATTTAGAGTCTAGTGCATTGTGTAGACATGACAGAATGTTACTGCCATTCACAGCATGGGACTAAATGTGCTAACAACCAAAGGAGATTCGCTTTAACTCTGAGAGATGTGAGGTCATAGCTCTATTGTGGGCACATGAGTCTAGTTTATTGGTTGTAGCACTTAACAATGGAGTATGAAGTCCCAATCATGATTTTTAAGTAAGGATCACTTATACATTGCTGTGGAAACAGAAGGTTAGTAATCTCTTTGACTCCAAAAGCAGAGTAGGTAAAAGAGTTTCTATTAATAGGAAATAGTCCATCCATAAGCTACAGGTTGCAAGGGAAAGAAAAATTGTTCCGATTTCAAGTCAACTTGTGCATAACCAGATATTCTTGGATTAAACCAACTAGTCCTGTAAAGTCAGATGGATCTAGAACTACTTTAGAGCGCCTGCAAGAGCTTAAACTGCTTGCAAGGTCTTGTGTGGGCAATTCCTTTCCTGTGGTGAGGTTCCTGGATTTATGCCCTTGTGCCTTTCTAATTACAAGGGCATCCATGTCTGTTTTTAGTAACTCATCCTATGTTCTTGCAGCCAAGTTGGAATCCACCATAAGGGCAACCGGTTTAAGAATTACATGGAAACTTGGGAGAAGGAATGAGTGAGTGTGATGTGGCCAAGAACAGGAATCAAGACCTAAGTGAAGGATGCCCACAACTTTTAGATGCACCCAACTTGGAATTGATCTACTACAGAAATAGCTAATGATGGTAACATATAAAGAACGGTTGCAGAAACTGAGTATGTCTAGTCTGATGAAAAGAAGGACTAGAGGAGACATGATAGCAGTGTTCCAATATCTCAGGGGCTGCCACAAAGAAGAGGTAGTCAAGCCATTCTCCAAAGCACCAGAAGGCAGGACAAGAAGCAGTGGATGGAAACTAATCAAGGAGAGAAGCAACCTAGAACTAAGGAGAAATTCCTGACCGCGAGAACAATTAACCAGTGGAACAACTTGCCTTCAGAAGTTGTGAATTCTCCAACACTGGAAGTTTTAAAGAAGAGATTGGATAACCATTTGTCTGAAGTGGTGTAGGGTTTCCTGCCTAAGCAGGGGGTCGGACTAGAAGACCTCCAAGATCCCTTCCAACTCTGTTATTCTATTCTATTCTGATCCCACTATCCATCTTTTCTGTTAGTCTTCATTTCAGCTCTCATCTCCATCTATGGAAGAGTAGTAGTCACAGCAATATAAAAGATTAGATGGCCTGTTAATAACACAATTGCAGAACTCAGTGCTCTACAATCTATAAGTTAAGGATCTACTAATATTTCTGGGATTGCCAAGGATTTCTGTTCCTCTTGCTCTCCAGGGAGACAATTATAATGAATGAACTCCATCAGAATCTTCTAGAGAGACAGTAGGTCATTAGAAAGATATTGAACATGCTGGCTTACATTGTGTGTTTGTTTGGTTTTTTGTTTTTTTGTTTGTAATTGGTCCAGTTTCAAGACAACTTGTACATAACCAGAAATACTTGAGCTAAATTCTTTATATTTCCTTAATCATTCTTTTGCTTTCTTATTTCAAAATCCTTCGGAAATCCTTGACAGTATCCACCTTCCATCAATGTTAATGCCTGTATAGGAGAATGATATCGAGGCTTCCATGTTGATTGAAATGTGGGATTTATCTAAAGCAGAGCATGAATAACTTTCCAGTCTAAACTGACACCTATTCAAAGGATATCTATTCAATGGAAAAAGGGATAAGTAAAAAGGTGTGGATGCATGTAAGCCTGGGTTTATGAAACAGCCATCATCACAGTTACTTTCTCTTTTGCAAAATAACCAATCTATTTTTTTTCCAGATGGCTGACTCCCAGTCACCAGTTATTTTATGAGCCAAGGCTTTTGGTTGTGCTTGTGCAAAGCAGCTGAAAGCTGAGCATATTCCCCTTTGTGTCTTTTCAGGGGGATCTTCCTGGACACCATTCTTCCCAAATATAATGTGAATGGGATGCAGCCCTCCATTGGACAGAGGACCCGGCTGAGCAAAGGAGATATTGCCCAGGCACGCAAACTCTACAAATGCCCTAGTAAGTATGGTGGGTTGCACCTTACAAAAGAAGAATCTAGAAGTGCTTCTGGGGTAAAGCTTCTGTTTTTAATCTTAAGTTTCTATGGAACTAATTTTAAGTTTTCATTGCAAAAGTTCTCACTAGTCCATCTCTGTTTTATTTTTCTTAGAAAATAAGGTAGTGAAGGGGAAATTAAATGGTTATACAGAGCCTTTAGTTTGGGACCACAACTTCTTTCCATACACCTTTCCTAAGTCTTTCTTTGG